ACACAAGAATATTTTTCAATTTTTTTTTTGATTTTTTGACGCATATCAATTATGCCTTCTACCACCTCATACTTTTCTGGGCCTATTTTAGACATACACCTTCAAATCATAATGCCTTTAGGAAACTTCACTGTCCTTTTGAGGCAATCTTTATCAAATAGACACTCTAGCGGTATTCGATTATATTTATTATATAGATATTAAGGTGGCCAATGTGCACATGTAATCCGTGCACTTGCCATTTGCGATTGGAATTATTAGCGTCAGATTGGGAAATAATTAAATTTTTTACATTAATGTCATTTTTGTAGTTCGTGACATCAGAAGTTCCAATCCGACGCTGATAATTCTAATTGCAAACTGCAAGTTCAAGGATTACATTTGCACGCATGCATGATCTTTATGAAAGATGGACAGTGGAATTTCCTAAAGACATTATGCTTTTAGAGTTTATGCCCGCAATGGGTCTAGGAAGATATGAGGTGGTAGAAAGGCACAACTAATGTGTCAAAATATCAAGAAATTTTGAAAAACAGTTTTGTGCCTAGTGCGAGGAACCAGGAGTATAGGAGTACCAGGAAATATGAATAGGAGTACCAGGAAATATGAATTTTATATTTCAACGGCGGGATATGCCATACAGCTAAAACTACTAAAAAATGGTTTAGGGACATGAACATCAAGGTCCCCTCACGGCCTTCGCACAGTCCGGACCTTAATGTTATCGAGACATGTGGCATAAAACAAAACAAAAATTGTGCCAGGGTCCCCAAGAAACCGTTGCCCATTTGACGATGATATTAAGAGAATTATGGCAAAATTTTTACTCTGGCGTATGTCAATCATTAATAAAAACAATGCCAAACAGGCATGCAGTGGTTGCAAAGGTTCATACCGATGTAACGCCATATTAGAACAGTTATTTTTTAAAGTGTCCGAACATTTAGTTGTCACGATATTGTGCAATATTTTTGTTTATTTATTGGCCTACAGTTTATTTTAATGTTTATAGAAACTAAACTATTTAAATACTCATTAGAAATGTTAGATTTTAATATATTTTTAATGTATTTCTTAAATTTAAATAACGTGCATATGGGTTATCACTGGAATGTTTTTCAAAAAAAAACAATGTTCGACTGCAAGATCTGCTAGTAGAAATTTTTAAGCTTAAAGTATCAAAACACAATTCATTTAAATCTCGATTTAAACCAAAAACTTGTAGTACATAACTAAAGTGTCCAAATGAATGAGAATCTTAGGGAATAAATAAATGTGAAAACTTTACATTTTCAACAGCAAATCTACTACCTGAATCCTCAGAAAGAAATTTTAATTCCAGTTAACTAACTAAGCCCGGCCTCGAATATGTCCATGTTTGGCAACAATTGAAAAATCGCGCTCTGGATTACGTAACTAAAAGCACAGAATATCTAGCTAGCTAGATATTCTGTGCTAAAAGTTAAATTGGTATCGAATATAGATGGTTTTTTCAATAAATAAATAAGCAGAACTTTGTCTTTCAACTATTTAATAAAATCCAATTCTAAAACAAAAACATAACAAACAAACTGTCACCTCAACTTAATATTGTCTATAACAGAACTAATAAAGCTATTACCAAAGTTTATAGAATATATTGTAAAATTTGCTATTATTCTGTGCCACAACTCGGAGAAGTACTATTTAGTTTTCAAAAATCGAACTATTTTGCCGTCTTATTTTTATCTAAACCACCCCAACTACTTCTTAATTTTGAATAGCACCTACACTATGTAGTTTTAAATAAGTGTTCATAATCCCGACTTACGAGTTAAAATCGTGTTTAAAGAAATAAAAACTATTTTAAACCAACTGTTTAAAAAACAAGTAAAACATCTTTTTCAACACTAATTTCTACTAATTCATCAAACTGTTCTAAATTTTAGTGATATTTTTCAGAAACCAACCCTCACCTTAATTTACCAACCTGGTTTAACCACAAAACACGATCTACATTATCAGTTAAAGTTAAAATGCCTGTAGCAGCAGCGTAGCGTAGCGTCAATACAAGGGGATGTAATAAGTAACTGTAATTAACATTTTACCAACACAATAAAGTTTTTTTTTTCTTTTTTTATTAAAGTCTTTAATTTTGAAGTTACAAAAATAAAAATACAATAAATGTAACAGGTTAAAAAAATAATCTAACCAATTTAAAAAAGAACGAAATTTAGCTAAAAAACAAAGCTGTGAACGTATCTGTAGGATAAAATAGCAGAAAAGGCGACCAAAAAAGTTTATTGAGTGCCTGACAACCACATAACCAGTGTTCACGAATAAAACGTTATAAAAATTTTCACGAATTTTCACATTTCAAAATTACAGTTGAGGGTTGGAACCTTTGGTGTTACACAGCAAAATAAAACACTAATACACCAAAACACTTTTACTTTTACACTGGACGCGCGTTTCGCTAACCATGTTATTATAAACTCTTTTTTTGGGTTTATAATCATCTGCTGATGATGCTAACATGGTTAGCGAAACGCGCGTCCAGTGTAAAAGTAAAAGTGTTTTGGTGTATTGTGGTGATTTAGTGTTTTATTTTAAAATGACGAATAGGTACACTATCTTAATTTAGGATTAATATTCAAAATATACTTTGGGGAATTTTTCTGAATACACTATAGAACTGAAGTATAATTACAAAATTATCTTACAGCCGCGCTCAGAATTGGTCATCGCGACACGCTACGATATTTTATTTTATACCGCGAAAGAGATGTGTTTAAAAAACCGCATCACCCACTGGCTAAAACAGTGAACGGAAGACGTAATTGCGGCCGGAAAGTTCGCTGACCCCGGCTCGCGTTTTTTGGCGTTCAAGATGTAACGAGGACAGTCGCATCATCGCGCTGTCGATATATTTTTATTTTTAGCCTTTATAGTTCAGTCATTGGGGATTTTTGCTTGGAAAAAACTCTGGAAGTTTTGCTACTTTGCAGGTTTATAGGTTTTGGGGTCCCTAACTAAAATACATAAAATGCACATTTCTAGACTTGCCGCCATCTTGCCAAGATGGCGCCCAAAATCAATAATTAATTTTAATTATTGAAAATGTGTACTTGTTTCCACAGCACCCAAGAGGAAAAGTACATGGCGCGTTTATTTTAAGGTGGTCTCCCCGGAGGCCTACTCCACTAGGCAAATTAAAAACTTTAACTTATCTGCACAAACCCGACGGATCTGGCTCATTGATGTCAAAGTCGATCGTGTCTGCTGTGCTGGGCTCATCAGGGTGGTCTCTCAGTACGTCCAACTCTTCATCTTTAGCCGCCAGAGGGATATCTACAGGCAAGTCCGTCTCCTCTTCATCGAATTGGCTGTGATGTTGTCACAGGATTTCCCATTGCAGTATGCACAAATCATTGAACATTTTAATCCTGTTTTTCTGCATCCGCAGGCTTTACCACAGTTGTTGGTTTTGCATTTACAGAAAAAAAATGCCAATAGGGATTTTGGAACTGGATCTTTCAACGTTGTGACTGGAGTAATGCCCGTTTTTGTTTTCTTCCAACCCCATTCTTCGGCATCTTTGGTACAACCAGACCAATGCTGAACCTGGTGGTATAAGTTTGCAATGAATGCTGTCCAGCACGACAATGAATTATTCATAAATTAATGAGCGAATTAATGATACGCCACTGTTTCATGACAAAATTGAAGAAACTAAACTAAAACTGGTTTTAGTGAACACTAATCGACATTTGATTTCGGAAAATCGACTATATGTATATCATACTTTACGCAGAATTGTAAAATTTCCAGGGATTTTGTGCCTAAACGGTTGACTTTAGCGAAAATTTTCATATAACCTTTTTATAGGAAATTTTATTCTCTTTAATTTTGCTCTCTTCAAATTTTTGCGAAAAACGCATAGTTTTCGAGATATTTACAAAATACCAATTTTGGACGCCACCTTGGTAAGATGGCGGCGCCGGCGGCAAGTCTGGAAATGTGCATTTTATGGATTTTAGTTAGGGACCCCAAAACCTATAAACCTGCAAAGTTTTAAAACTTCCGGACTTTTTTCCAAGCAGGCCCCTTTTATGATCCCCTATGACTGTACTATTAGTAAGTTTAGTAGGTCTTACCGTTATCTATAAAGCTCGACCAATACACATATCAAATACTTAATTGAAATTGAGTTTAATTATTTAAATAAATTTAATGAGAATTTTTGAAATAAAAATGTATTATAATATTTTGAAGGGACGCATCACCCCCTGCATCTCCCGCATCAATGAAAGCTGCGCCGCTGGCCTGTGGACATAAAAAATAATACATTTATTAATGCTATCATAAGAGAAGTGTAATATCCTTTATATATTCATTAATTTACATAATAAGTATATCTCATCTTCATGATACAACGTTTTAAAATATTGCCTCAACATTTATTATTTTGTGAAACAAATTTTGTTACACTACAGAATTATCATAATAGTACCTTTTCAACGACTCACTAGCTAAACAATTATGATTTTTTGGTGTCGGATATAGAACAAAAATACACAAGTTAAATCAAGTGATGTAAAATTATATCAATATTAAGAATACCTTGCACAAAGAGGCACTTGACTGTTCGTGACTATTAACATTAAATTCAATTTAGCTACACGGTTTGTAACTTAAATGGTATAAAGCGTTGTTTTGAGTGCCAAACGATAACCAAGTTGAAAGAAAAAAGTTTAATTAATAAAAATCACTTTACTTTTTTAAATGTAGTTTATCAAGCGGGTTTTGAATTTGACAATATTAAAAAAAATCTAATGAAAAATTTCTTTAATAGAAGTTTTATTATCTGTCATCAGGCGAAGTACTCTAGATCAAAAAACTATTTGATCGCATTGTACTTTTCTACAAACAAAAATATCAATAGCTTGAATCACACTATGAACATTTTATTTTTATGACAGGATTATTTACTTATTATTGTTACTGTTATTATATTTTAGGCGGAAACCGACGTTTCCAGGATCGTTAACTGACCTTCATCGATTCAGAAAAACAGCCCATGGCCACGATGGATCCAGCAGGATTGTCATGGTCAGAAAAACTGACCAGAGAACGTTTGCTTCAATTAAAAAGGGACAGGTAAGCTAAAAAAGGTACAAAGTATTATGAGATATATTTAGAAATACCTTTTTTTTTCAATTAAATTAAAGTAAGTTATTTGGTTACCATCAATGATATTTGTATCTTACACGTTTTTATCATACATGGTATTTCGAAACAAAGTGTTGGTTTTAACTCCATACTACTTCCGCCAGGACGCCCTTCTTCTACCGACTAAAAGTCTGACTTAAATAAGTATCAATCTTACTTTTTTATACTTTATTTTGAAATGCCTATATCTCATTAACTATTAAAAGTTTCCATCTGTCAATTATACGAGGGAAAACAAAGTGTTGATATTTTGATGAAAGTTTGAAACACCCTGTGGAATATGTTAGCAAAGCAAGGAATTTAACCAAACCAAACTTTTTAAGACATGATTGATGACATGAAATTACATGATTTTATGCCATTTAAAACAATTCGCCCTACGAATTTCCTAATCTTATTATTGGCAATAAACAATGCATTGGCAATAAATAATGTTTTTATCTTCCGAAAAAACTACGTGACAAAAAGATTCAGCGTCATTAATAATCGGTTTTCTTAACCTTCTGCTAAGCCGGATAATTGACAATAATAATTATCCATAAAACAAAGATTAGACAATGTGTATTTATTTTTAAATTGCACATCGCATCCGGCAGAAAAAATATCAACATACAAATTCTTCTGAAACAAGATCTTCATGAATTTTGTTCTTAATAGATGCTCTGTAGATTCTTTTTCTTTTAGCTTCATTTTCCTTATACTCTAAATCTGCTTTTACTTTTTTCTGCGTTTCCGATCTCTTTCTTTTTATTCTATGACGAATTTATAAGTTGGTCCAAAAAATTAATCATGAGTTGGGATGGACGGGACACATTTTGGTGCTGACTTAAGTCAGTAGACAAGCTACTTTAGGTGACAAGTGTCCTTAAATATATTTATTATAGTTAGATGAAAGAAATGTTTGGAACAGCACCAGAAAATTTCAAAAACTTTGTGTTATATTTAAAACAAATATGTTTTTTTTGGACGGACGAGACATAAACATTAGTTACCAGTTTTGTCGATATACAAGATTAATTCAGTAATATTACACTGTAGTAACACTGTCAACAAATAAACAACTCTACAAAAATATGACAACCATCCAAGACGCCGCCGCAGTTTTTTTTATTAAGTCATGGTCTACTTAGCTAAATTTGATAGTTAAACGAGGCAATAGGATATAAGGATCTTGGGGCTTTTAAGGATGTGGCTTACTGGTTTGCTGGCTACATTTAAACTAAAATTGTATGTTTTCCTTTTAACTTAGGAATGTTTCTAATATTTGTAATAAAAAATCACCAAATATCGTATAATTTATTTTTCATAAATATGTTTATCTTGGCTTGAAATGGCCTTCTAGATCGCATAAACTATTCTATATTAGGATGGAAGCGTCCAAAAACTTGACGAGAGAATTGCTGTCATTCCTGGAATCTCAATCTGCAGGCTAAGATTACATGCGCTAAGTCTCCTTCGGTTCCACACTCGCCATATAGCATTATCTTTCAAACCTAATTTGTTTAACCCTGGTATATATTCAATTTGTTTATTTGTGAAATTTATACGAACAGATTTTCCTTCATTGAGGTCAATCCTCCATTTTGGAACTTCATCTCCTTCCTCTTCATTATTTTTGGCCAAAACTCCCGATGTTCCTTTTAAGATGGTAATTGCAAATTAGTTTCCTTTTATGAAAACACAATTTTTACCCGCTACCAGGGGCGCCGGCTTTTAAAACGTCGTGGACGCCGGCTTTTATAAAACGCTCATCCGATATGGGTACTTAAATATAACAAATTTCCATATTGTTACATTTATTACACTTTTTTACATATGGGACATACATAGTAAAATTCATTTTTGCAATTCTATATTGAGTATAATTTGAGTAAGACAGAAATAACATTTTCTAGTGCAGATACCAATTTCTAAAAATATTGCTAAATTGAGTAACGCATTCACTTCAGTACATTTTTTAAGCGAAAATGGCCTCCCGAGATACAGTTCTGTGTTGCATTTTTGCTCACTTGTGCTATTGCAGAAAAACAACGGTTAGTTAATAGAAGCAAGTGGATTAAAGATTGGCTACTTAAAGGAAATAATTATATTAACACTAAAAGGAAATTATTATAACTAATTAAGAATGAACGTGGAAACTTTAGAACTATTGAAATTTATTTATTCGAAAAACTACCATAATATGATGTGGGTCAGAACCATGACTCCTGAGCATTCTGTTTTTTGATTCATGTCAAAACATGCTTTGGTTAATTTTTAAGAGCGAAATGAACTGATCACCATAAATTTGCATTTTTTTCAATTATAACTTTTTAATATGACGAGGTGGTTTTGGAGACTATTGTCGTAACGTCATTTTACGCTGCGCTGGATTCTCTATACTAATTTAAAAAAATATGCTAAAGACCTGGTTTTAATAAACATTAATAACGATAACAGAAATAACGATATTAAAGAAAACATCTATAATACTCAAATATACAAACAGAAAAAAAAATGTAGAAAATACCCTAATACTTTCTATTGCATCCCTTGGCTACTATAACTGCCCGTATGCGTTTGTTCATACTGTCATTGAGGCTATATATGGGACATACATAAAATTTAATTTTATAAAGAAAATGCCATATCAATTTTTGGCATTTTTGCAATTCTATTGAGTATAATTTGAGTAAGGCAGAAATAAAACTTTCTAGTGCAGATACCAATTTCTAAAAATATTGCTAAATTCAGTGACGCATTCACTTCAGCACATTTTTTAAAAGAAAATGGCCTCCCGAGATACAGTTCTGTGTTGCATTTTTGCTCACTTGTGCAATACAGAAAACGCAGAAAAACAACGGTTAGTTAATAGAAGCAAATGGATTAAAGTTTGGCTACTTAAAGGAAATAATTATATTAAAACTAAAAGGAAATTATTATAACTAATTAAGAATGGACGAGGAAACTTATTAGAACTATTGAAATTTATTTATTCGAAAAACTACCATAATATGATGCGCATGTGGGACCAATCAAACCTAAAATCAAAGGACCTAACCAAAGGACTCTCTACAGAATTTAAGCGACGTCTTGCCTTACGGAGGATAAGATAAGATTAGTTCCGATACTTCTTTCCTCTCGTGGGTCTGGGAGAAGCACCCACTTTGTTGGTTTCTTTGGTGCTCATCAGATTTTTATGTATCTAATGTAAGTCATGTCAGAGTGCTACATAAAGTTTATAAAATATTCAAAAAAGTATTGGTCAAAATTGATAAATTGACAGACACTGGTAAAAATCAATAAGAAGTTGGAAGATTAAAATCTGGATTTACCTGAGAAGGATAACATACTGGGTGCGTCACAAAAGTGTATAACTTTTTCAGATAAAACCCCTATAACTTTTTCAGATAAAACAACGAGATTCGGTATATATTTGGTGTGTTAGTATATGACATAAATTAGGATTGATTGACATATTCAATTGTTTTCGGTCACTAATGACTACAACTTTTAATTTTTAAATAGCACAATTTGAAAAAATTGAGATGTGATTAAAAATACGATTTGGGCATCTTTTAACCGGCCAGAACAAGACACGAAAAACATTAGACGACCAAATCTATTTTTCCAAGGCTCCTTGATTAAAAGTGTTTTTAACACAGCCATGGCACTCTAGATTGAAATTTAAAATACAATTTGTTTTTGAGTGAATATGCCAAAAGTTGACATATGATATGTCATTCGATTCAGAGTGTCATTTTCTATCGAATAAAGTAAAAAAAATACCTAGGGTGCCATTTAAAAATCAAAAGATGTAGTTATTTCCGGTGAAACCGGAAGTGACCGAAAACAATAATTGAATATGTCAATCAATCTTAATTTATGTCATCTAATAACATACTAAATCTCCTTGTTTAATCTGAAAAAATAAAAAAGTTATAGGGGTGAGCCATTTTTGAGACGAACCCGGTATACAGTTATCAGCAAGAGAAAGTTTTGAGTCGGTATTTATATGTCTAGGAGTCAGAGCTGCAACAAGTCAGTTTCAAAAAGGCTTAAACTAACACCACTTAAAATAAAACGGATTAATTTCAAAATATAATTTAAAAATAAAATAAAATAAATAAATAAAAAAATATGAGTATTAAGAACGTAACAACTTTTATGAGATTTATCGGACTCTGTAGTACTTTTTACCTATTCGTTACAGTTTAGATGTCATCAAATACAGATCTATTAAAAAGTGGTGATATATTTTAATCACTATGCAATATCTCTATAGCATAATTTAAACTAAGTGATAGAACCAAACCAAACCTAGTTGGTGTTTTTGATCTGCTGCCTGGATGCCGGCCTGACAGTTCAAAAAGAACTGCTGCTGTAAAAAATTTATCATAAAAAGATATGGCTAAGTGTTTATTACATAACCACTAATCCAACGCTTCATTTCATGCGCTTGGGAAAATTCTTACTCTGTGCTAGTACCCTTGTTTCTAGTACTGAACACATTGACTGTACTTATACAGAGTGCTACAAATTCGAGGTACGAACATTAATCGTATTTCGGTAACCGTAATCGGCTATGAGAATATGCAATTAGTTTCTTGATTTTCTAAAAAGTAACGACAAAATAATAAAATTAATTTTCAAAAAAATCAGTTTTTCCAAAAAACTCAGCAGTCAAAATTTTGAAAACTTTTTTGATGGCATCTTGGTGAACATCCCAAAGCGCAACTTTGCCCCAATATAACCATGTCCTTATCTATTAGGGTTACCGAGATACCAATGCTCGTACTTCGAATTTGTAGCACCCTGTATACAGGGTGATTCTTAACCTATACGCATAAACTTGGGAAATTATTGCTGATGACAAATAATGACTAATAATGAAAAAAAATGTTAGTAAAATATTTTTTTAGATTCTGAAATAATTTTAGTTTTTTTTTCACAAAAACTTATCAATTTTATCAATTCAATCTAATGTAATTTACGTTTTTTTGTTTTTATTTCAAATAGTTTGTTATCTCCGTAAATAAAAATATTTTACTAACTTTTTTTTTCATTATTAGTCATTATTTGTCATCAGCAATAATTTCCCAACTTTATGCGTGTAGGTTAAGAATGACCCTGTACACACAAAAATGGGCACCCAAAGCTGATCTTTTCCAACAGTGCATACTCAATTAGAGCTAAGCTATTGCGTCTTCTGGATTATCCCCCCTTAAATCATAACGGATATATATTATTTACTTAATCATGTTGTTTTCGGATAAGTTTCTAAATTTCGATATAATAAAAATAACGTAGGTACTTCAAAGTGTTTTTGACAAAATTTCCTGGTGCGTTGAAATCATTCGTTTTCTCATTTACTATGAACAATAGGGTAAACAAATGTTAATCCATCTAATCTGTAAATAGGCCATTAACATGATTTTTCCAGCATTAATCATGTTTAGAAAGCGTTAGAAATACGAGTATATACCGATACGATACCACCTTATCTTCCTAAACAATCGAGAAAAAATAAAATTTATATTCCCTCGCAAACAGTATATAGGCCCTGTTTATCGTCAGAACCTTCAATTGATAAATGGTGGTAATGTTAAGTACGATTAGGTGAGAAATTATTTGTTATTAGATTTAAAGCCCACAAAATTTTTTTTTCGGTGATAAGACTGAAAGGAAGTGTGATAGTCCGTAAATATTATTACATGTATTCCTAAATTATTTATTTAATTACAGGAACCGACATTAGAGACAATAACTCGTGAAACAATCGAAACGTTTAGAGGCCAAAGAACTGAGTGCAAAATTACCACAGAGAAAAAGGATTTCGAAAATCGCTGTCCTCAGGATATAATCGAGGCATTGGCTGATAGAGGAGCACAAACTCTCAAAAGAACTATTATTAAAGTAAGTCTGTTAATAATATACATTTACAATATACACTCAGATGCAAAAAAACGCAACGAAGAATTTTTTTGTGAAATTTTAAAGTGTTATATTTTTGTTATTTTTGGCTGGATATAATCGTAGACTCAGTTTTTTATAAACTTTAGTATTTGGCATCTTATACAGAGTTAATCGAGGGATTGTTTTTTACCCTAACTTTAAAACACCCTATGCAATAATTTCGTGTGTAAATTTTCCTAAAATATAAAATTTACAGTCAGAACCATGACTTCTGAGCATTTTGTTTTTTGATTCATGTCAAAACATGTTTGGTTAATTTTTAAGAGCGAAATAAATTAATCACCATCAATTTGCATTTTTTCAATTATCATTACTTTTTGATGTAATTTTTTAATATGACGAGATAGTTTTTGATGACTCGTAACGTCATAATACGCTGCATTGGATACTCTATATACTAAATTAAAAAAATACTTTAAAGACTAACGATACAGTCCTGGTTTTAATAACGATAACAGAACTAACGATATTAAAGAAAACATCTAATCTGTAATACTCAAGTGTACATACAGAAGAAAAATTGTAAAAAATACCCTAATACTTTGTATTGCCCTTCCTTGGCTGCTATAACTCCCTGTATACGTCCGTTCATACTGTCATTGAGGCTACATATTATATATTGCATTATGTTTTCCCATTCTTCTTTAAGGACTAAGCGAAGTTCATTTAATGAAGCCGGTACTGCTTCGCGATCTCTAACCCTCCTGCCAAGCATTTCCCAAATGTCCAACATGATTGGCAGTTCATAGTAGTATTATAGTTCACAATAATATGTAAGTATATAGTTCGCAACCAAAACCGCTTTGTCATATTGAAAAATAACTTCAAAAAAAGAAATGATAATTGAAAAAATTGCAAATTGTTGGTGACAAGTTAATCCGCTCTTAAAAATTACCCAAGGCATGCATTGACATGATCCAAAAAACAAAATGCTCACGAGAATTGGCTATGATAAAAAAATAATGTTTTAGGAAAATTTGTTCACGAAATTATTGCACAGGCTGTTTTAAATTTAAGGTAAAAAAAAAATGGCGCCGGGAAACACGTATAGCCGCCCATAGTAAAATAATAAAAAGTTGGTAGGCAGTTCTTTTAGTTTCAACGTAAAGAAATTTTTCCAATTTTTTTTTATCTCAAAAACTGCGACTTTAAAAAGAAGAAAGAAATAGATTTAGAAATAACTGTAATTTTGGAGTTACGATTTTTTTAAATTTTTAACCCCCTCCCATACCCCCTTACCAATCCCCCACCCCCACCAAAAACTAATAGCCAGATTCTCGGATGCTACAGCATTTTTTTTTTATGGAGTTCCTCCAATGTTTCTGTTTTTTTTACTTTATTTTCCTTTAAAATAACACAGTTTTGAATATTCTAAGACACATTTTAATTTTAAGTTCTTATGTTTTTGGAGGTATTCCATGAAAATACTTTGAGTCTTAAATAAAATATCTTTGTATATATCCTAAGACTTTATAATTCTTATAAAAAAAATAATTTTACAATTAATGTGCAGAAAGAAAAAAGAAAAAAAATGTAGTAATCTTATTGATTTTACAGAAACCAAATCAAAAAATGGACTTTCAGCAAGAATGTTTAAGGGCTCACAACGAATATAGAAGGAAGCACGGAGTACCACCTCTGAAACTAGATAAAGAAATGTGTAAATTCAGTCAGCAATGGGCTGATTCCTTAATCAAAAGAGATGTGTTACAACACAGCAATAATAGGGAGTATGGAGAGAATCTTTTTATGATGCAATCGTCGAATCCCAATTTCACAGTCTCGGGAAAAGAAGCAGTTGATACTTGGTAAGTTTATTTGATACTTAGTCGTACGTATATTTAAGTGAAGTTGAGATAAATAAGAAATTACAGTTGTTTTAGTCGTTTCTCAATTTGACATCATTATATAGTAACATCATTATGTCGTGTGTCTCTTGTACCTCATTGAATAACTTATATTTCTATTATACAGGGTGTCAAAAAAATAATTAATCTAACTTCGGTGGGTGACTCTACAGATAAGAATAAAACAAAAAGTTCCTATGAACATATATGCCCTAAAATGTTTCTCGAAGAAGTTACAGCCCTCGAAAGGAAAAAAATAATATATTATGTTTATTTTTAGGAACATTGGTAAGCCGTTTTTTCCTGAAATTTGGTACTCTTATACACATATAACAGCCCTGAAAGGGTACTTTCCATTAGGGTAGAGAGTACTATTGGTGGTACTTCTTTTATCCTTACAGATACAGTAATTTCAACAAATGAGAATTAAAGCTAGAACTTTTTTACGTAAAAAAGGTGGTTATCGTTTAGTTCGAAAGGGTGACCGGTTTTCAAGATATGTGCCTTTAAAGGTTCCGATGCATCGGACGGTTTACCAATGTTCTTAAAAATAAACAAAATATATTATTTTTAGTTAACCTTTCGAGGTAACTTTTTCGGTTGCAAATATTTAGCTTGATCCTTGATCTCTTCCAGATCAAATTTTTTTATAGATTTATATTAGCATTATTTCAACATAAATATATATTTTTTAAAAGCCTTAACGGAACATAACGCCTTTAAACGATTTAGAAAATTGGTTGCCGAAGTCATACCAAGGTTTCCTATATCGTCCGGTATCATCCGAAATATATTTAAAACATACATATTTATACTTCATACTTAACCATAATTATAGAGTGGTTTAAAAAAATCACATCAGACTTTAACTTGTCAATAAATATCATCATCAACATATCATGTTCCAAATGACCCCTCTTTATCACTACCACAAATCATTCGAGGTGAATAAAATGGATCGAAGAATGTGGACGGATACGACATTCCTAGAGGACAGACTAACCTGGTTTATAGAATTCAAAGACCGCTGACCGAACAGGAGCTGAAGTATTTTGGGAAAGACCAAGGGCATGATTTTCCTTTTCTTTAGGTAAATACTCAACCGTATTCCAGACAGAAATCTTTCCATTTTACAATGCACGAAAAAAACAACAACAGAAGAGCTTACTGAGGTAAGCTTATAACTAGCTAACGATCATCGGCATCCGATCTTGGTTCAGAGCCAGTACTTGGAATACCCAAATATATGGCCCGTAGTGTATTAAAACTCTGGATCAGGGAAAAGCAGAATATCCACTGGAGAAAGAGAAAGGCAGGAGCAGAGGCATAGCAAAGTCTTTATCCAAGGACCTAGCTCTAAAACCACAAAGGAACTACTAGTGCTTAGCAGGAATAAAGTACGGATTACAACAGGTCTCATGACAGGACATATATGGCTGCCAAGTGTTACCGGAACAAGCTCAACCTAGCGATAAAGATCCTGAAACAGCGGAGCACATAATATGTCACTGCAAAGCTCTGGATCGCAAGCGACCCTTTTCATTTGGCAAAGCAAAGCTAGAAACGAATGAACTATGCTCCCATCCTATCAAGAACCTGCATAAGTTGATGCAGGGTACAGAAATAGGAGAATGGGTGTAGATATAGAAAGGGGACAAACACAATAGGCTACACAGACCACAGTGTTTCCGGCAGAGGACGGACCCTTATAATTGAAAAAATATCATGTTAATAAACTCATTTTCCAAACCATTATTTTTATTTGCTTCGGAGATTATACTGTCAATCCAGTTTGCAGGTTTAGCATCTGTGTAAATATTTCTGTATACAGACCAAATAAAAAACACCTCCAATATCCATTTGCAGCATTTGCGATAATTACAGCTCTATTAGTCCTCTACACGTCCTCTATTAAACCTGCATCCGTACTATTGACCAACCATACAGAGGCACTGTTTAGGCAACATTATTGAAAATAACAAAATAAATTATTTAGCGCTCTTTTTAGGTCCAACTATTTTACCCCCTACAATCAGTTTCCAAATAAAAGGAAACTACTACACGCACACTGATGCAAGTCATTGTGAATCAGTTTCAATCAGTTGGTGTAGTATTCAATTTAAATAAGTTACTATATCAGTTCGAAGTTTAGTTCTTGATCAGCCATTTTGATATAGATATAAAATAACCCAGTGGAAATAAAAAACAAGCAACTTGCAACTGCGATCGCGGGAGATGGCCACAGATCTGTGTTGCAATCTAGTCCCGTTTGAATCGATTCGTGTGGGTCTTTACATTACTATACGCTACAGAGATTGCAAAACAGTAGAGAAGTAAGGGGATATTTAACCATTTTTTTTATAGAGGTAGGAAAATACATTTGCGTATCGCAGAGCCAGATGATTGGCCTGGTGTGTCGGACTCAGATTTCAATACCGACTAAAAACCTCCTCTTTCTCCGGCCTCTGCCAGTCCCCGCGGATTTAGCAATTGCTCTTCCTTCCATTAATTGAAGTCAATGCTTTTCTTCCTCTAACCGTTCTTGTCGCTGGCCCGTCCTCTCTCTATAGAGAGGTGAAGCACTTTCGTTGCGAAAGTATTGGTCGCGTTCCAGGATGCCTTGGAAGAAAGCATCGCATTGGTTAGTGTCTCTGGTTGAGTTGCTTGTTCGAGGATAATCTACAGATGACTACGCATTAATTTGAAACGTGGGCACACAAAGAACACGTGCTCCGCGTCTTCAGGAACTCACTCGGACACGACGGGCACTCCGGGGAATCATCGAACTTAAAACGATGAAGATATGCTCGGAAGCAACCATGTCCTGAGATCATCTGTGTCAGGTAGTCACCATGTTTTCAATTCAGCCAAACAGTCAACTGAGGTAGAAGACGGTACGTCCACCTACCTTTTGTTGCGGCCTCCCATTGTACCTGCCATCGGCTATGCTATGCTGCCGCTCTTCTCTTCTGAGTGCATCAGGGCTCAGTGCTGACGATCTTCTTCGTCGATAAAGGACTTGCCTTTCTTCGGCTAGAATTCCAATATGAAGCATTCCAGCGATATTTAACCATGTAGAATTCCCTCAAACCATAAAAATAACTTATCATAAATCAGCGAAATATTAGAGCACAGATAAGTACAAAGAATCTTCTAGAGAGATTATTTATACGGATTTGGGAGAAAGATTTTAAAGGAAAAGGGAGACAAAGTTAACTGTCCAGAAGAATGGTTTTCGCAATGGATGGGTTGACCAACAAAACGCAGAAATCGCACTTGCGTACCATAGGTACTACCAAAATGACCAAATCTAGACGGTCTCATTATCTAGTAGCAGTGCGTATACATCGTACCACCAAATCTTAGGTATTACTGGTCTTATTGGGCTTACTAAATGTACCGCAAGGTGTATCCCCATTAATATTACAAAATAGATATTGAAGAAGTCCGATTTAGAAGCCGGTGTGGTATAATAGGCGACTTTCCCCTATAACTATTTATTAACAAAAATAAAGATACACTAATAAAACAACAAAGAAAATTTCATAAAGTTGACGTATCCTAAATATTGTTGCTTTAATCATATCTGTTTATGTTCTTTCTAGGTATGAAGAAATTAAAGTTCACAAATTTGGTATGGAGCCTCAAAGCTTGGCTTCCGGCCATTTTACTCAAGTGGTGTGGAGGGAATCGAGAAATCTGGGAGTAGCGTTTGCGAAATATCGAGGTAAAGTGGTCGTTGTGGCCAATTACTATCCGGCTGGAAATTTAATAGGAAGCTTCAGTGAAAATGTACCACCCCCTGGAGGATTTACGCCACTTAATAACAACAATATAGAAATACAAGGTAAATCTTTATTTTTATCGTCAACATTAGAAATTTTTTATTACAGAATATTCTGTATTAGATAAAGTCTGTTTAACGAGTCAGAAAAGAGATCGACAGACGTCATCCCAAATATGTAAGAAAAATCAATTTAAGGCTGAATTAAAATGACAGACAATAACCTCACAATAACAGTCCCTGTCATGAAACCTTTTTTGAATTTTGGGGATAGCCTCAAAATATTACCGTCACTTTTTTCTGTTTCATTTCTACACTAAAAAAAACATATAAAAAAACTACAACAATCAACAATGCACCACATATTGTACATAGATTTTTGTAACCATACGATATACAATAATTGTTGTATTAGCTAAGTTATTATTCTTCCCCAACTCAGCTTACAATAGCGCCGAGTAAGAGCAAAATGGTCTCAAATAAGTAATAATGATTTTCGAATGTAATATCACAAGATGTTTCGGGATTACCGAATCATACTTTCACCTGACACGAAATGCGTTACCCGAGTTGTGTATTAATTAGAGTACCCGTGTTGTGAGTTAGTGTTGCCGGTACCGCATTGAGTGTCAGGCAAAAGTATTAGGTAATCCCGAAACATCGAGTTGTATTCAAAAAATTATACAACGAAATAAAGTACATATTTATATCCTTCTTATTTTGCCATTTTGTAATAAGAATTGACGGGATATTTTGTGGAACTGACAGAAATGTCTTCTGAATTAATATTTCAAAAAATGACAATTACAATATGGCCACCAAGCGATAATCACTTAAATGATTATCACTTATTAATCACATCCTTCTATATAGGAAAAATATACATAGAGTTGTATAATCATTTAAATTTCAATAAGTACAATCTGAATATTCTCTGACACAAATTGTGAGAATGACCACCACACACACTACTTATTCTCCATTTTCGTATAAACTCAAGCATAATTTAACTATTTTGTAGATCTTGTGATAGAAACGAAAGCTACAACATGATGCCTAGTACCATTTTAGACGTAAAATACAGCAGTTTTTTCTACTATTGTGGGGTTTATTACAATTCATTTTTTCCGTTTATTTAAGAATAAATAATGAACTATTTTACCTGTACGTCCTAAGACTATCGTCACCCTGACTATATGGCCAGTCCGACACTGCTTTAGTACTACAACCGCTTATATCACTAGTAATTTCCAATAATTCAATGTTTAGTACTCTACGTGAAAAATAATGCTAATTGGCCCTTAAAACAATTACCAAATATGTTTAATTTGTGTATTTTGAAAAATTTTGAAAATTTTGTAAGCTTTAAAAAATTTAGAAAATTTATTTCATGAATAAGCTGTTTTTTGACATTTAGTAGAAAAAGATCTATTTTTCTATTTTACTTCAAAATCACTTGACATTGATATTCTTTCAGGGCAAAGTCAAAGGTCATAAGTGTATAAGTATTTTCTGAGAACTTCTTCACCAAGTTCAACTATCCATACCTATTTTCAGGTCGTCTGAGTCGCTTATCTCTAAGTTCCCGAAGCTCAAACCGAGATCTAAGAAGCGTCACCGAGGGCAACTTCGAAGAAGACTTCCTCGAAGCACACAACAAGTACAGAGTACGCCACGGCGTTGCTCCCTTAAAACTAGACAAAAAACTATGCAAGTATGCTGAGGAATGGGCCAAACACTTAGCTTCCAGAAACATCTTGGAACACCGGCCCGAAAGTAACTACGGCGAGAACATCTACTGCTTGTATTCTTCGGATCCCAGCTTCACCATCAACGGTAACGCACCCGTCGACACTTGGTACGAAGAGATCAAGGATCACCCTTTCGGCAGGGAACCAAGTAGTCTAAAATCCGGCCATTTCACCCAAGTAATATGGAAATCCAGCGAGAATCTCGGGGTTGGAGTGGCCAAATCTAGTCAGGGAAGTATTTACGTGGTAGCCAATTATTTCCCGGCTGGAAATTTTGTAGGACACTACGTGGAAAACTGCCCACCCTTGAGACCGGCGTTCTATAACGGGGTTTCGGAGAGTATGGCTAAAAGAAAACCTACAAGTGAAAACCTACAGACCTACGCTGATAATAAATCCAGTGTTCTCGATCTAGATACGTTTTCTAAGGAAACTTTGAGTATTCATAATGAATACAGGAGGAAACATGGCGTTCCTGATCTAAAACTGAATCCCGAGGTAAATTGTAACTCCTCTATATATTATCTGTTTATGACAAATATCTCTAGATAAATTTAACAGCCGATTCCGCTAAAAGGTTCTTATGGCATGCCGTGACCCTTAGCGATTTCTATACCGGGTAAAAAACGAGATTTGGTATGTTAGTATATAACATAAATTAGGATCAATTGACATATTCAATTGTTTTTCGGAAATGACTATATTGCTATAACTTTTGATTTTTAAATGTCCCCCTGGGTATTATTTTTTTCGTGTCTAACCGAAAAATATTAGACGTCTAGGCCGGTTAGAATATGCCCACATCATATTTTTAATCAAATCTCAATTTTTTCAAATGGAACAAGGGTGGCTCATTAGCATATTTGGAAAAAGCTTTTTTTTACGAATAATTTGGTACCACACACTTGGTATTTAATTTAAGTCAGTCAGAGTCAAAATTGTCGTTATGAACCGCATGTTACAATTTCAAATAAACCATATGCGAAAATGTCAAAAGCTAACATATGACATGTCTATTCAGAGTGTCATTTTCTTCGAATAAAGTAAAACAATACCGAGGATGTCATATAAAAATCAAAAAGTTGTAGTCATTTCCGGTGAAACAGGAAGTGACCAAAAACAATTGAAGACGACAATTATTAGGATTAATTGTCGTCTTATGTCCTATACTAACATACCAAATCTCGTTTTTTTAATTGAAAAAAATACAATTTTTTTAAGGTGGCTCAAAAAGTGTAAATGGATCGGGATGATTTTTTTAAAAGGAACACCCTGTATATTGTTGCATTTTTGGCTTATTTTCAGATTACTTTACATAATCCTAAGATATTATTAAATATGATTCAAAATATAAAATCAATTTTCTTCATTTTTTAAATATAACACTCTGTATATTTATTTCTTTGTTAGATGGAGAATTAAGAAGTGGAAATTTTCGGTATCAAGTGTTTAAAATATTTTTTGGCGGTTTCGCAAATATTCGCGGTTTTATTAAATATGGCTCTTTCAACGGTAAAATACCAGACAAAACTCATTAGATGGCTTTGATAAAAAATGTTGAAAACATGTAGGTATTGGAATAAAACAAATTGGCTTTGAATAAAACAAAACAGCAGAAACAAAATTACACATTTTTGAAATTGGAAAAAAATAATGGTATCTAATAAACAACCGTATGGTCGAAAAAAAACGGCATCTAGTTAGCTTGGAAACCTATATGCAGGTATCCCGAAAAAAAACAAATTTCTAGTATGTATTTAAATAATTAGGTACCTATTCCATTAAAACAGGGCTACTAAGACATCTAATACATAGAATACACAGAATTTTTTTACCATTTTTAATAAAATTTAGATTGAAAAATGATCTTCTGATTATGTTGAGATAAACATATGCGTTTAGAGTTTAAAATATTTTTTTAGTAATTTGGTTCAGTAGCATATTTTTACACAATTGTTAATTTTCAGATATCTAAATTTGCTCAAAATTGGGCAGATACCTGTGCCCGCACCGCCAGCCTACAACACCGAGCGAACAACCAATACGGTGAAAACCTCTTCTCCATGTACTCTTCCGACTACAGCCACGTACCCACACCTAGAGACGCTGTCAAAGAATGGTACGACGAAATCAAACTTCACACTTTCGGTGTAGAAAAAGTGTCTCAAGGATGCCTTCATTTCACACAGTTAATCTGGAAGAACACCACTGATCTAGGAGTAGGACTGGCCAAAAATAAAAAAGGTCAAACGTATGTGGTTTGCAATTACCATCCCAGAGGAAACTATGGTGGCCAGTTTGCCGAAAATGTACCGAAACCAAAATCATGACGTCAACGTCCTTTCAAAAGTCCAAAAAGTGTTACGTTTCTTGTGGCACTGCCTCACTCTACACTTTAAACCAAAAATTTTTTCATTCCAGCTTTCCATGCCAAAGATATTACTGTGGTATTTTAATATTGTTGGGTATTGTTAAAAACATATTTTAAACTAATAATATTTCAATAGGAATCAATTACCAAAGACACTAAACTTACCTTTTTTTAATTGATAGTCACTCTATATATTTTAAAGCAAAATTGATATGAAATTCAAGAACTACAGATTTAATGTTTCTCTAGATTTCATATTTGACTATATTCTGTGATAAGTATACATAATAATAAGTCCCAGTGTCAGTGTACTACATTTCTAAGCCACCTTGAAATTTCTATAAAAAAAATCACAAATTTACCTAAATACACTAAACCAAGAAAATACAATACTAGTTCACCACACAATACACCATTACACTTTACTTATTTCAACACTGAATGCGCGTTTTGCTAACATACAATAAATTATAGTATTCACAGATTGAGTTTTTATGTAGGGACATGATTGGCAGTCGCCAAGCGTTACAAAACCAATCTAGTGTAACAACAAATAACGGAAATTAGAGCAATGGGAACTGAGAAATAAAAGGAATGGGAACTCTATCTCTGTTCATATTGCTCTAATTGAGCATTGGGCTATATCTTCTTTGAATACAATTATTATTATTCTTCTTGTCCCCAACATATTTCTGATTAAAATCATTACCTGATATTTCATAAGTCAGTCTTTAAAGTGTTATGATGTATTGTGGTGAAGTAGTGTTTTCTTTTCTAGGTAACGACCAAAAGTTCCAATCTTAACTAATTGTACAACCAACCTTAACCAACATTGTTTGTTTCAACCTTAACTAGTGTTATATTTTTGACTAAACACAAATAATACAAGTAAAATATATTTTTTTTTAGTTTCTATATAAAAAAACTATTTATATTGCACTACCTGATAAAAATTTGTTTTAAAATTACTATTACAAGAATGGTATTTATTTTGCTTTAAAATATACGAACATAACGAAACAAAAAAACATTCGAAATTGAAAGTATACTTATATTTCCTATGTAACTTCATCACATTTGAATTTATGTACTGATTGGCTGTGAATAGCGCATTTTGATTGGCCAAAATGTTATCTACATTTCTAACATTAATCCAGTATTATCGATTTTGTCTACATAGTATTTTAGGTAGTATAATAGAATAGTAAAACATTTATCAAACATATATTAGCATATCTTTTTTGTTCAATTTCTATAGCTGAAATAAGTTCACTCTCGCACAAGCCGTCCTCTAGAACAATCTTGAATCATATAGTGCCTCTAAATGTACATCACTATCGATACCTATTTATCAATAATATACAATATAGACAAGTATTAGAGGTCTAGTTTTCAATTTCTGAAATGTCTCATTATCGCAGTAGAATTGCGAAAGTACTAAAAACACTTTTTTATTTCAATAAACTTCTATAAATATAAAAAAATAAATAAAATATACAAAATTAATTCGATTTTAGGTGATAGTCTCATTGTAATATTATTTAAGTGTATTTCATAAAATATCCCAAATGGAATCAGTCCATCTTATGTGAAATAAGAAACCAAAATTAATTTTTTGTCATGTAAATTTCTAATAACTCTAAAAATTATATCTAATAAGTCATGTTGACTTGTTAGATATAAGTTGAATCCAAAAAATACATTAAGCTATAGGATTTTTGTTAAAGCCTCACAATGAATGCTATATAATATACAATTAAATCATAAACAACTTCTCAAATGTCCATTTTTCACTTTGGGTCTTGTTGAATTGTGAATGTTAATAATTAAATTTCTTGTATGTAAAATTGTGTTAATGTGAAATACCTATATATTGCTTTTATATTAAAGTGTGAACATAAATTTATAACTACTGTATGGTCAAGCTCAAGCAAAATTGAAAACATAATATGTAAGTATAGTTCGCAATCAACAATGCAAATTCTATTTAAATAAAAATGAATAGTTATCAAATGAAACATAAAAAGAAAAATTTGTAGAAATAAGTGAATGAAAATCTTGACAAAAATATATTGCAAAAAATATACAATTTTCAAGGAAACTGTATTGTTATTATAAATCTTATGTTCACAGAATATTTATACATAATCTGAAATTTGTTATATAAAATAAGTACGTGATTAGTTCAATATTATTGTCAATATTATATGTTTAGCTAGCTTCTATAATCTTAAGACTGTCATACTTTTTAAAAAAAGTACAATTTTCTTTTATTTCTTATACACTGTCCATTACGTTTTAAGTAAATTAGTATTTTTACTATACCATATATCAACATTCCATATATTCAAAGGAACATTTTTTATCACACAAATATCAAATTGTTACTGAATAAAACTGTTAATAAAAGTTAATTATCATTACTGATTTTTTTTTTATTAAAACTACATATACAGGGTGTCCCAGGCTGAGCCGAGATCTATCAATTAAAAATATTTTCAATATGGCGGCACTTCCGGAAATACCGGAAGTTGACAGCAACTTTCTTATTTTAAATGGGTACCCCCATTTTTTATTACATATTCAAATTTTCTGTAAAATTTTATGAATTTTGATAATAAATACTCTATACCTAACATTAACCGTTTTTGAGAAAAAAAAAATATTTAAAATTTTTTTTGGACGAAAAAAACTACCTGTCAAAAAAAATTGTATAGCCTAAAACTCAAATTTAGTGATTACCGCGGCCATTATGCCATAAAGAGAAGAAATGTGGCTACCTATTTCAAAAATTAAATTGTTCAATTGTTATATAATAGTGACGGTATCTGTCATGGAGTTGAGCGATTAAAAAATTATCATAAATCATTTTTTTTTCAAATGGAAACCCACTTTTTTTATTTCACTAGCGGAAAGGTTTTCCAATTCGTTACTTTATGAGTATACATATTCCTATACCTAAAACAAATCGTTTTTAAGTTATTTAAGATTTAGTTTGAAAACATATATTTTCCCCTTAAAAGTTTAAAGAGTGTATTTATAAAAATATATCTCGTATTTTCACTTTTTAGTGATATCTAATGGTTGATATTATTAATAATATGATCGAAAAAAAAACCTTGAGCAAAGTTGGCTTGGAAATGATGATCGATAACATACTGCTTTTTGAACAAAGTGTCACAATATGATATGAACATCTATTGTTTTGCATGCATCACTTGACGTTTAAGTCATAGGCTACTGGTTAAAATCAAGAAAAATATACGCTTTAAAACTAAATATTAAATAACTTAAAAACAATTTATTTTAGATATAGGAACATGTATAGTCAAAAAGTAACAAATTGAAAAGCCTTTTCACTAGTGAAATAAAAAAAGTGGGTTTCTATTTGAAAAAAATGATTTACGATAATTTTTTAATCCCTCAATTTCATGGCAGCTGCGGTCATTATTCTATGACATTCGAACAATTTCATTTTTGAAATAGATGGCCACATGTCTACTTTTTATGTCACAGTGACTGCGGTAATCACTAAATATGACGTTTAGGCTATACACAAATTTTTGGCAGGCAGTTTTTTTCCTTCAAAAATTTTAAATATTTTTTTTCTCAAAAACGGTCAATGTTAGATATAGAGTGTTTAATATCAAAATTCATAAAATTTTACAGAGAATTTAAGTATGTAATAAAAAATGGGGGCACCCATTTAAAATAAGAAAGTTGCTATTAACTTCCGGTATTTCCGGAAGCGCCGCCATATTGAAAATATTTTTAATCGATAGATCTCGTTGTGTAACAATGATGTGCAAAAAATCTCCGAGCTAGATGTTGTAGTTCTCTAGAAACGTCTAATGTACGCTCAGCCTGGGACACCCTGTATACAGGGTGCTACAAATTCGAGGTACGAGCATTGGTATCTCGGTAACCGTATTAGATACGAACATGGTTAAATTGGGGCAAAGTTGCGCCTTGAGAGGTTCACCAAGATGCAATCAAAAAAGTTTTAAAAATTTAAAGGATTGCTGAGTTTTTTGAAAAAAAAAACGAATTTTTTTGAAAATCAATTTTATTTTTTCCTGGCGTTACTTTTTAGGAAATCAAAAAACTAATAGCACATTTTCATGGCCACTTTATTAGGCCTATCTGGTAGTATATTTAGATTTTCAAATTAACTGATAATTTGTGAGATACAGAGGCCAACTTATTTTTTTTAAATACGGACCTGCATTTTTTATTTGAGATTTTGAAACAACTCGATCTCCTGAGTACAATAATATGCCACACTTAATATCTTTTTTTATTTCGGACATTTGAAAATAATTTATTTAAACTAATTTCAAGTCCGCCTCTGTTTTTTTTTAAACATTTAATCTATTCATCGTTACAATATTGATAAGCTTTCAAACTTACAATGATATGGGGTAAAACATTGAATACGGAAAATGAAATGCAACAACTAAACGGGCATTACTTGGCGTCATTTATAAAAGTGAAATCAATACTTTTCAACATTTGCAATAAAGCCTACAAAATGCATTCGGAATTATAACAAGAAGTTATGTTCAAAGAGCTATAAATAAGATTGAACAAAAAATAAATTTGTGCATTAGGGAGGGTGGTAACCATTTCGAACCTGTACAACACTAGAAAGTAGTTTGTAGAAATTGATTTATTTATAATAACTACGATTAATATTATGAATATTATTAGATCGTATACTGAGATTTCAAATTCACAGTAAAAAAAGTTAAAATAATATCTTTAAATTGCTGACTTGGATATTATTTATTTGAATATTTCAATTGCCTCGATTTTCCTGCCTAAATTAGCTCTAATCAATATTATTACGATGAATATAATCAGATTAAATGATTTAAAAAAACAGAGTCATACTTGAAATTATTTAAAATATTAATTAAATAGTTTTGATGTTGTTAAGGTTTTGGGTACCTTACCAAACAAAAAAAAAGTATAAAGTGTAGCATATCGTTGTACTCAGGAGTTCTTTCAATATCTGAAATAAAAAATGCAGGTCCGTATTTAAAAAAGTTAAGTTGACCTCTGTATCTCACAAATTATCAGCTAATTTGAAAATCTTAAAGTACTTAAAGTATCAGACAGCCCTAATAAAGTGGCTATGAGAATGTGTAATTAGTTTTTTGATTTTCTAAAAAGTAACGACAGAAAAAAACAAAATTGATTTTCCAAAAAATCCGTTTTTTCCAAAAAACTCAACAATCCTTGAAATTTTTACAACTTTTTTGATGGCATCTTGGTGAACTTTGCCCCATTTTAACCATCTTTGTATCTATTACGGTTTCCGAGATACCAATGCTCGTACCTCGAATTTGTAGCACCCTGTATATATATACATACAGCCATTACTCGCTGACGAGTATTCGACACGCATCAAAAGATGGTCACGCAAGGTGGTCACGCATCAAAAGATGGTCACGCCCGACACGTGATGCTATTTGCCTACCGCACTCCGGGCATTCAAAAATCTCATTGCTTTGTTGCCATTTTATTAAAACTATGGATATTATGGTGCACAATTTTTTTTCTTTTTAGTTGCCATGAAAATGTCGTTCAGGATGATGAAAAAACATTTTGGTAAAGTTTGAGCTTTTACTATTATTATTAAGAAGTGTCTCATCGTGATTTTTTTTATTTCCTATTTAAATAACACGGGGAAACATTTTTTTTTGCAAATTTATTGCGTTCTAACAAATCAGCCTTTTGTAAAAATCAATACACAGTATTGTAGGAAATTGAACGGTCTTCAAAAAAGGTCTGATATGAAATTTCATTTAATCGACTCAATATGAATCAAAGTTCAAACCGTATATAGTAACTTCCACAATTTTTTTCTATTTAATCACGAAATAGTGGCCCAAACAACATAAAATATCATATTTTATGTTTTTAATATCATATTTTATGTTTTTGAAGCATTATTCCCTGATGATACAATTTGCAACAGTAATAATTTACGAGATGACAAGCTCATATAGGCAGTGATAACAAATTTGCCAAAATTCAAGAATAAAATTATTTTTGAATTTTGTCTATTTCCTTTTACCACTTGTGCAACACAAAATAATCAAACAAAAATGTGATTGAATCTTGCTAAATTGGTTCCCCACAACCCTTTTTAATAAACATTTCTCACTTTTTGTCACACTTTGAATTTAACCTAAACTTTTTATTAATATAAATTTTCATCAGCCATTTATGCAAATGCATGTACTCTCAAAAAGTTTTATATGCCTTATAGGTCAGTCGCCAAGTATTAAAAAATAGTTTATGGCGGGAGCAAATCCGGACAAGCTAGAATAATTTTTATTTTGTTTAGTTTAGTGTAAGGAACCACGTGTTAAATTTGCACCGCCCCCAAAGCCCGGATTTGGCCGCCATCTTGGAAAAAGTGGCTAAAATTCGGTTTATTTTTCATTATTTGTCAATAAGTCGATTTCTATCAACTTTAGTGCAAAATATGTAGAGACCAAAATTAAAGAACAGGAAAAACTCTATAAAAAACGTTGTATGGGTTTTTTTCGTGCGACTACCCAAAGTATCGAATTTTACGAAAACAAAATTAAAGTTTGATATAATGTACGTATTCAATATATCCGGGGTTAACAGTACTTGTTTCCACACCACCTTGAGCGGCACCCCCGAGACATAAAGCCTAAAAACTTGTTTGCTACTGGTTGGCAGTAGCCTGCTGTCGCGGTCATAATGGAAGAACGCAATTTGCATTATGACCGCAATAACGGACTAAATTTTTATTGTTGCGCGACTGGTGGAAAATCAAGTTTAACCGCCTTATCTCCCAGGAAGCTGCCTTGAGGTAAAGTACCTGGCGCGTTTTTTTTTGAGTGGTCTCCCCATTTCCAATAGGCCTAATCCATATGTCGTCAACTTAGGTTTCTTTTGAGGTGGAAGGTTCATCAGAGTTCCTTCGTTTTTTGATGTTAGTGGTTGTTCAATATAATCTTCCTGAATGTCTTCCACATCTGTATCATATTCCGGATCTGGTTCATAAGGTGCAGAATATTCTTTTCGTTGATCTTTATCGAGAGGAAAATTGTCCTCGTACTCATCTTCGTCTAATTTTGCCACCTCCAAACTATTCGAACATGATTTGCCCTGACAAAGTGCACACATTACCGAGCAACGCAACGCAAACCTGCTTTGCGGCAACTATAAGATGTATTACAACCTTTGGCACATTTACATGAAATTAGATTTAATAATTCTTGGGGAGCTGCATCTTGGGAAGTAGCAATGGGCATCAACCCATACTTTGAGCTGCTGAAACTTTGAAAGCTGCACAAACTTTCAAAGACCCAAACGCATCCCCAAAAGATATAGAAAAAGCTGGAGAACCATTTCTTCTTCATCTATGTGGATCCAAAAAATGCGACTCATTAGATAAGTACAGATACCAGTGTTTCGTAAAATCTATTACGAAAAGCTTACCAAACCTAGCATCATTACCACCGACCAAAGACGCATTTATAGACGCAAGACTCTCTATAAAGATCAACGAAAATATTCTGCACCTTATGAACCAGATCCGGAGTATGATACAGATGTGGAAGACATTCAGGAAGATTATATTGAACAGTCAGTAACATAAAAAAAAGGAAGGAACTCTGATGAACCTTCCACCTCAAAAGAAACCTAAGTTGACGACATGTGGATTAGGCCTATTGGAAATGGGGAGACCACTCAAAAAAAAACGCGCCGGGTACTTTACCTTAAGGCAGCTTCCTGGGAGATCAGGCGGTTAAACTTGATTTTCCACCAGTCGCGGAACAATAAACATTTAGTTCGTTATTGGGGTCATAATGCAAATTGCGTTCTTCCATTATGACCGCGACAGCAGGCTACTGCCAACCAGTAGCAAACAAATTTTTTGGGCTTTATGTCTCTGGGTTGCCGCTCAAGGTGGTGTGGAAATAAGTACATTATATCATTTAATTTTGTTTTCGTAAAATTCGATATTTTGGGTAGTCGCACGAAAAAAACCCATACGACGTTTTTTATCGAGTTTTTCCTCTTCTTTAATTTTGGTCTCTACATATTTTGCACTAAAGTTGATAGAAATGGAGTTATTGACAAATAATGATAAATAAACCGAATTTTAGCCAATTTTTCCAAGATGGCGGCCAAATTCGGGCTTTACGAGGAGTGCAAATTTAATACGTGCTTCTCGACACCAAACTAAACAAAATAAAACTTATTCCAGCTGGTCCGGATTTGCTCCCGCCATCGATGCACTTGCCGACTGGCCTATTAACATATTGCCTTAACTTTGACCCTTGTCTATATATTATGCATAATCAATGCTTTGACTAACCCTAGTGGGCCTTTGACACTATTTAATAGTTCTAAAAATATTTGAATATAATTCAAAATGAATTCAAAGAATATACCAAGATGTAATTTCCCACAAGAACTTCGTTCCTGTCATCATACAAAATATCAGGTGTAGAGTTTTGTATTTCAATAACATAAATAATTTTTTATGCCTATATACAATAGAATAAAACCCAATTAATTATAACATATAGAAACAGAACAAAAAAAGACGTAAAAAATAATACAGATTAAACTGTAGTTAAAATACTCTAATAGCAATTTAGAGTGAATATTAAGAGCGCTCTCAGATGGAGCGGAGCGTCCGCTATTTCGAGCAAGTACCATGAGTTTATATGAACAATTTCACATGGGCGCGTGTGCTCCGTCCAACGGAGATCTTGAAAAAACACGACGGACGGTCCGCTCCATCTGAAAGCGCTGTAAAATCTTAAGATATGAAGTACAACGCCATATAAAAATGTAATTATCATCGTCTTTCTTCAAGATAGCCGTCGGACGAAATCATCCGGACGGAGCTTACGCGACTCATGTGAAATTGTACATATAAACTCATGGTACTTGCTCGAAGTCGCGGACGGTCCGCTCCATCTGAAAGCGCTGTAAGTAATTATAATAATAATTGTAATATTATAAAAAGGTATAGAAAAGAGAGTTCCAAAGATAAAGCTACATATAGGATGAACCATTTAAATATATATTTTATTTTGGTATGTTTTTGAGGTATAACTAGTTCATATAATTTAAACAATATAATTAAATAATATGTACAAACAAAATTTACAATTTTTAAAGGAATATTTTCAATTTCATACTATGATGAATTTTGATAATAATTAATTCCATCACTAAATTTCTGTAGAAATATCACAGCTTTAAATAAAATTCTTATTTATTATTTCTTCTAAAAGAATTGAGGGTCTCAATACTATCTGGATTTTTGTACACACAAAGATCCATAAAGGCACAACCCAACATTAGTGCTTGAGAGAGTAACTCTTTGCTTTTTGAAACTTCTTTATCAAACTTTAGTACATAACTGTCATCTATATTCATTGGGGTACAACAAAATATCTCTGATTTATTTTTCATTCTAATAAACTCTCCAATTTTTACAACAGGAGAGACTTTTTCAGAACCTATGAGTGTTTTAAATAACCTGGAAAATAGTTATATTTGAATATAATATTTATATTAATATATTAACTTTTAGTGTTTAGCATACCTAGCAGCAACCCTTGATTTCAAGTAGAATACTCTATTTTCTACATTAGTTGATCCCTCTTTTATACCAAGAGGATTATGCACCATACTAGTATTAAGCAATGCTAGTAACATCGCAAGCAATTCCATTTGCTGATTATATGTAGAGACCATAGATGGTTTAGACTGGTTTTGAAGGTTTAAACTTTGTGCTGATTCAAACACGTAAAGATCAGCTTGAGGTATTTTCCTTATAATATTTATTGCCTGAAATGCAAAATTGTATATGCAAAGATCTTATGAGATACTTTTTGATAGTTCCATCAAATGAAAAAAAAATATATACAAAATGTTCTTTTTAAAAAAAATTAGGTTGTTTTTTGTGTGTAAACATTATTTTATACTTTAGAAAGTTTGCCATGGAAAACCCTCTTTAAGATTATGATATTTATAAGAAAATAAGTAGAGAGCAGGATATAGTAAGTACCTAGTATAGTTTTGATTTCAGGATACCTCTTCTTAATAATTTTTTTAAAAATGGCAGAAATATTAACTTATTACCTCTAAAACTATAAAAACAAATTTAATAATATCTAAGGACTCTGTAAGAAGGAAGCCAAGAATGCAATATACAGGGCGTTTTGTTCAAGAAGTATATATCCTATTGTTTTCTTTTATAGAACCTATTAATCTGAAATTCATTAATAACAGACTAAATAAATGTCATATAATTACTTCCAAAGCTAAACTCACCAAATAAAATGTATCGGTATGGAACATTTTAACTGGAAGCTGACTAAAACTTTCAGAAAACCAATTTGTTAAAGTGTTTTCATTCCTTTCTAGGCGAACCACACTTAATCCTACAGGATCTAGATGTATGGCTACAGCTGATTTGAAACTCTGTAATTTAAAAAAATATATAGATTATAATGAAAACAAAATAAACCCACACAAAACATCACATTTAATATATGTGGTGGGAGGTCAGGGGTAAGATATGATCTATTTTGTGGTTTACTTCTTTTTAATTTTTCACTTGATCCATTAGCCTGGGCAATCTTTACGCAAACCTGCTCTAATATAGTTTCCTCAATTCCATCTATTCTCAATACATCTCCAAGTGTTTTAAATGGACCGTTTGATTCTCTCCAGTCAATTATTTTCTTTATTCGATTGATAGGTAATTTGAATCTAAAATGTTAACTGTTATTTATTAGACAAAGATTAGGTAACTACTGTTATAAGCTCACTGTTTCAATTCGTCAGGATCCGATTTATTTAAAGCGTTTAGAATTCTGTTGTCGTCTTCGGGGGTAAATTTACTATCGAAATAATATGGTGTTGAAGATTCATTTGTACTAATGTGTTTAACCTGAAAATAAATCATTTTTAAAACACTAGATATTGCAGCAGAACTATACGTACAAGAGAGGCAAAATTTCTGTGTTTTCTAAACAGGTTTTTACTAAAACTTAACATGCTAAACTAAAGATGTTCTTATTTTTGTTTTAAAAAACTAATGAAGAAAAATAAGGTTAGAGCACGATTATGAATATCTTAGATGAATATGAATAGAAGAGGATAGAGGTCACCAGCATACAGCAGATGTCTGGTTGCATATGCATATATGATAATACACCACGGCTTTTTATCATTTACACGTTTTGCGTATTTAATATAAATTTATTATTTGTTTGATTTTGATTAACTGTAATTGTTTCGTCTATGGTTGATTAAATAAAAAATAAAAATAGGCACCCGAAAATAAAAAATAGTAATACATTCATGGAATAATTTTGATTTTGGTATTCCTTCAAAAGGATTCTCCTTTTCACTTAAAACAATACATACCAACTACCAACCTGCTCTAAATAAGTTGTACTAAAAAGTTCACATGTTTAAAAACAAAGTAATCGCAAGATTTAATTCAAAAAATTGTTTAGTTTCATGAACTTGCTGTCTATTTTAGTAAAGGGAATATCCCAAGCCCCAGCAAAATAAGAAGTAATTCCCAGAAAGACATATGCCGCTGCTTGTAATTAGTTTAAAAAATACATATATTTTTAGCTAGCAATATTCGAACTATTAATTCACACGTACGGTGGATGAATCATCAATATGAAGAGGAACACTGTGAATTACTCTACTATGGTCATATTAAAAAAAGCCCAATTGTCTGCATGCAGTTTCAAATAAATTTGTAGAATACAAATAGATATACAATCTGACAATAAGAAAAAAAAAAACGCCGTAAGCGATATGGCTATGAAATGAAGATCGCTGTTATTTTATATGGGAAATGACATCGATCGATATTTCCAGGCCAACTCGAGGGCCAACTGGACGGCGTTTTTTTTTTCAATCGTACGGTATTATGGGGAATATCATCGATCGTCATTTCCAAGCCAACTGGACGCCGTTTTTTTTTTCGATCAGACGATATTATTCCTTCGATGGGTTTATATACCTCCACAAAGAATATTGAATTAAAGTAGGTTTTTAGATCAAACGCATTCTGAATTTGAAAAAAATCAAGTAGGTAGATAATTTATATTTTGTAAAATACTTTAGCTGGGTAGCTTTTATATTTACGTCGGTATTTTAATTAATTAATTATTTATGTACATACCAATAAGGGTCTTGCGGTAGCAGGTATTCCCGTACGACAGTCCCATACATACATTTTGTGTGAAGTACCTAACAATTTATGCAATCGCCTTATTAATCAGAAGAAAGAAATGTTGATAAAATATGTAGTCCAAATAGTGGTCCAATATATTGTCCCATGTGCAAATTGGGTGTCAAAAATACTACCTAATGGCTATAAGATGATTCACAACAGATTCCAAGCGATTCCAATAAAGCTCTGCATATACTGTATTCTTATATTACTTGTGAAAAAATTCTACCATATTTTCATGTTTTTTCTAATTTTCTCTAAAACAGTACGGAAATTTGGAAAAGTATAAACGGGATTACCCATTTTAGAACAAGCAAAAATTTTAATGAAATGCATTTCTCAAAATGCCAATAATAAAAACGGCGTCAGCGATGGCTATGAAATGACAATCAATGACATTTCCCATATAATTTAACATATAAAATGACAGCGATCTTCAGAGCTATTATGTTCTATATGCTATATAAAAGGATTAATCGATTATGGAATACTTTTTTATTTATATTCAAAATTAATATTTGTTGAATTTGTTAAGGAAAGTTAATTTTCCAAATTAATCTGATATTTATATCACAGAGTGGTCATTGTGTAGCAAACATTAAAAAATCGATACTTCTATATGTATACTCGGATTTGATCAAAGGCAAAGATCATGCAAAGACGCAAAGATCAAAGGTTTGATCTGAGTTGAGAGGTTTGATCTGAGTTGACATGTTAAATACATATAAATGCAACAGTAGTTTGACGTTACCTTGGTAGCTCTAAATATTATGCTTCAACTCCCAGTGACAATGTAAAAGTTTTGTCAATATTTGGTGCTTTTTTTAAAGGATATTTTTTCAAGGTGAGCTTATTTCATAAAATTTGGTATTTTTTAGATATATCTTATATATACGGCCTTTTTTTAACCAATAGTGATAATAACTGCGAACATAGGTGCTTCTTAGCCATAGTACATTCACTTGAAAAAGAATATAAAGTAATAGTATTGTAAACAATTTACAAACACCAAGAACATTAAATTTTATTTACACTCTAATGGAGTTAGTAATTATTTAACTTTTTAATAATATCGCGCAGTAGGTAATTTTTGATAGAACTGTTAGTAAATTTAACAAACGTCCATTGACCCAATTTAATATTCCTTTTTTTTCTAAGTTTTTAAAAGAAGAGAGAGCGGCTAGTTTTTTTATATAAACCGTTTATTAATTAAAATATATACAACTGTTAAATATATACAATTCAATTATATTGTTAATCTTTATCTTCGTGGCAGTTGTTGGTTGCGTCCTTCTTCATCTGCAACAGTTTGAAGACTTTTAAGACTCTTCCTGGGCAGGTGGTATCGAAGGTATTGTTCTTTTTTTTTATAAATTGGTCTATGTCGTCTACGTTTATACGCTCTTCTCAAATATCATGTTTTTAATTTTTTTCTTAAAATTTTTATAATTTAATTACGTTAATTCTTCTGGTAACATATTATATATTGTGGTAGTTTCTGTTGTTAGTTTTTGTGAAAGTTTTTTTTGAGTTCTCTTGACTGTTCTGATGTCTGATTTTCTTCTAGTTTCGTAAATGTGTATTTGTTTGTTAGTTTTTAGAGAAATATTTGTTTTTATTAATTTATTTTTGATTTTGTGTAGAAGTAATATATTATGATATTTTATTAATTGTCTTATGTTTAATTCTTTTGTTTTTTGTTATACTTCTTCTGTTGGTGTTAGTTTATCTAGGTTAAAGAATATTTTTAGTATTTTATTTTGTTGTCTTTGTAGCATGTTTAAGTTTTTTTCTGTTGTATTACTCCACGTATTAATTAAATATATATTCCTTGATGAAAATAATGCATGATATATTGGTTTCTTCATATTTGGTGGTATTATGTTTTTAAGTTTCAGGAGTGTGGCAATTGTTCTGGCGTTTTCTTTTTTTAAACTATTTATATGTGTGTCACATCCTAGATCCTAGATGTTACATTACTATCTACTAGATCCTAGATATTACATCCTAGATGTTACATCCTAGATCAGGCCACTGGCATCAATTGGACCACATAATCGTTCGAAGGACGCATCTAAAAGATGTTAGGCTCACAAAAGCTAGAGTAGATGCCGAATGCGGCACTGACCACCGACTTTTAATTTCAAAAATGAAAATCCAGTTAAAACCCAAACATCCACGCTGTAAAAAGCAAAACAACATGACCAGATTGAACGTACGGGATCTAGAGAACAAGAATACCGCCGACGCCCTCCGGGAAGCCATCAAAGAATCACTTCCACCGATAACTTCAATCTCAATATTGGAAGCTGAACAAGACTGGACACAATTAAGGGATGCGATTCATAAAACCAGCGAAGCAGTACTGGGAAAGTCGAACAAAAAGAAACAACCAGACTGGTTTGACGAAAATCAACAGCATATACAGGCTTTTTTGGAACAAAAGCATAGAGCACATCAAGCCGTCACTGCAAATCCACTTAATCCAAGACTGGTAGATAACTTTAAAGCAGCCAACAACACCCTTCGAAGAGAACTGCGCCAAGTAAAGGATAACTGGTGGTCACAAAAAGCGAATCAGATTCAAGAGTACGCCACTCATCACGATTATCGTAAATTCTTCGAGGCTGTAAAAGAAGTATACGGTCCAACTAAGAAGGTAAGCTGCCCAATCATGGCTCAAAATGGCGAACTTCTAAAAGAGGAAGAACAAATCAGAAATCACTGGAAAGAACATTACAGCCATATCCTTAACCAAGAAAACAACCCCAATATGGAAGCACTAAACACAATACCTCAGTATAACAGCCTCGATGTATTAGACATCCCAATAACAGAACAAGAAATAAAGACCTCCATAAAACAGCAACAAATCAGCTGGCTGTGACGCGATTCCGGCGGAAATCTATAAGTGTGCAAGTAAAGAAATTATGGATCATCTTAAGGCTCTCTTTGATGTCGTATGGGAAAGCGGAGAGGTACCTCACGATTTTCGCAACGCGAATATAGTGAATATATTTAAGAACAAAGGAAGTGCATCAGACTGCGGTAATTACCGGGGAATTTTGCTATTAGCTATCGGCGGAAAAATTCTTGCAAAAATAATGTCAAACCGCCTGCACCCATATATAGAAAAAAAATCCTCCCAGGATCGCAAACGGGTTTTCGTACCAACCGCGGCACCGTCGATTCCATATTTTCCATCCGTCAACTACAGGAAAAAGTAAAAAAGCAGCAGTCTAAACTTTATGTTGCATTCATCGATCTAACAAAAGCCTTCGACTCTGTGAACAGAGAGCGCTTTGGGCAATTATGGAAAAGTTCGGAGTACCCAACAAATTTCTTACAGTGTGTAAAAGCCTCCATAACAACAACAAGTCAAGAGTGTCACATCATGGATCACTGAGCGACCCATTCCTAACAAATACAGGAGTTAGGCAGGGATGTGTCTTAGCGCCTCTCCTATTCAACATATTCATGGCAGCGCTCTCCATTATAGTGGACAGCAAACTGCAGGAGAGAGGATTGGGCATTAGATACAGATATGACGGCGGTCTGTTCAACATAAAAAGACTCAGGGCAAAAACACGTACAAAATTTATCACAGAACTTCAATACGCTGACGACTGCGCTCTAGTTGCAAACACGGTACAACAATTACAAGAAATGTTGAACACATATACCTGGGCATACGAGGCTTTGGGCCTTAAGCTGAACATCGGCAAAACTAAAATCATGTGCACTCCCCCGGAAGATCACAACAATGCTATAAAAATCGGAGAAGAACTATTCGAATATGTGGCGGAATTCAATTACCTTGGCAGTTTGATTTCGGAAAAGGCCAATATTGACTCTGAAATTCAGCACAGGATTAGTAGCGCCTCAAGAGCATTCTGGAAATTAAAAGACAGGGTTTTCTACAATCATGACTTGAGTACAAAAACAAAACTTGCAGTATACCGAGCAATTATAATCCCCACCATGATATATGGGAGCGAAACCTGGGTGCCTTACCGCCGACACATGAACGCATTGAACAAGTTGCAACAGAGACACCTTAGACAACTCTTAAGAGTCCGGTGGTTCCATCATGTCTCAAACGTATCGGTCCTTGAAAAATCTAACTGCGAGAGTATTGAAGTCATGGTCACAAAATCCCGCTTAAGATGGGCTGGTCACGTATGCAGAATGCAAGAAAACCGCATACCAAAATCTCTGCTTTACGGTGAGCTTGTGGACGGTAAGAGGAGGCCGGGTGGACAACTGAAAAGATACAAGGACATTTTCCACGAAAATTTAAAGGGAATTAACATGCAGAATGAGTGGGAAAAAGCAGCTCACAATAGAACTCAATGGAGAAGGGTTGTAAACTCAGTTAACAGCGGCAACCAAAAAGTAGAGAGGCAACAAAGCAATGAGATTTTTGAATGTCCGGAGTGCGGTAGGCAGATAACATCACGTATCGGGCTTTTCAGTCACAGAAAAGCTCATGAAAGAAAACGCCTTGCGTGACCATTTTCTTTATGTGTGTCGAATACTCGTCAGCGAGTAACGGCTGTATGTATGTATATGTGTGTCCCATTTTAAATTGTTATGGATTTTAATGCCGAGGTAATTGACTTCAGATATTTCTTTTATTTTTTGCTCGTTTAGAATTATATGTAAGTCTTTTGTTTGCTTTTTTGTATTAAATCTTATAAATTCTGTTTTGGATTCACTTATAGTTAGTGAATTGTTGAAGCACCATATTTCAAATTTCTTCAGGTCATTATTTAGGTTCACTTGTAAATTGTTGTAATCCTTACAACAATTTACAAGTTGAATACACCATACATAAATTGTCAGCATACGCAAACATTCTACAAAAAAGAATTTGTTCAAATAAATCGTTAGTATATAGAATGTATAGTAATGGTGGCAAGTTGCCGCCTTGTGGTAGGCCATATGGAGCTATACTACTATTGCTTTCTATGTTTCCGACTTTTGTTTTCTGGGGTCTGTTATTCAAATAACTTTTTACTAAGTTGATGTAATTACCAAATCCATATGAAATGAGTTTCTCCAAGAGTTTTTCTTTACTGACAGTATCGAATGCTTTTTTCATATAAAAAAATACTGTAATGACCATATATTTCTTTTCTATGCATTTTTTTATGTTTTAAATCAAGTCATATACAGCTGAGCTCGTGCCTGAATTTTTCTGGAAAGCATATTGTGCTGCATTTATTATTTTATTTTGTGTTGCGTGTTCTGACATTCTAGTATGTAAACATTTTTCTAGTATTTTGTTCAATGCTGATAATAAACTAATTGGTCTGTAAGTTTGTGTTTCGTTCTTTTTGCTTTTTTTGTATATAGGGATTATTGTGGATTGTTTTAGGTATTGTGGGTATATTTCTGAATTTAATATGTCATTTGTTAGTTTTAGGAGTATTGGTATTAAAGTTTTCTTGTTATCTTTGAGTCTATTATTTGTTATTTTATCAAATCCTGGTGCTTTGTTTCGTTTTAGTTCATTAATAATTTGTTCCGTTTCTTCTTCTTTTATTTGTTTAATGTAGCATTTGTCGTAAGTTTTCTTAGTAGTTGTTGTTTTAGGTATTCCTTTGCTTCTTAATATTTGTTCTTCAGCTAACATTTGCCCTACTGTAGTAAAATAGTTATTTAATTCATTTGCTATAATTTTTGGATTAGTAATATTTATTCCATCATTTTTGGTAATTTCTTTAATAGTATTGACATTTTTATTGAGGTGTATTTGCTTATTAATGAATTCCCAAGTTTTTCTGCTGTCATTTTTATTTTCATTAAATTTTCTTCTGAAATATTGTTTTTTCGTCATTT